CAGTACCGCTGGCTTATTTGTGGGCATTTAAGGCCTGTTTCTCAGCACACAGCAGCATTGACAGTATTTCTGCTGTCACATTGTGTATTTCCATTAATAACGGCTATTGTTATTCTTGTTTGGCCATTGATAACTGTCACGAATGAAATCAATGTGAAATCTAGCATACATAAAGAAGTCATTAGGGAAATCAAGCAATAAATGCATTATGTGGACTGGAACCCAACACATAAAGTGTGCCGTTCATAAGCTGCTTAAATGGTTCAATTTACTGAACAGTGTGTGTGTGTGTGTGTGTGCGTGTGTGTGTGCTTCAAGCCTGACAGATGGGGCGAGTCGTTTACTCCATTATGTATCTCCATGAAGGCTACATTGAAAAAGCTTTTTAACAGGAATGCAGAGTGATATGAGAGACATGAAACTGACCCAGCAATTAAAGAGTTTAGTGCTCATTAATTAAAGCTATATCACTGCCTTCAACCAATCAGGTATCTCAGAGAGCTAATGACAAGAGATCGCTTATATTCAGCTTTCTGCTTGATGTTCTTGTAGTCAACATGACTCTAGGAGTCCAGGATCTTATATATTAGCATTAGTCAGTGATGACATTTGGTGGTTTGCAGTTTGTTTTCCAGCAGGCAGCTCCTCAAGGTCTTTCTATGGAAATTGCTGAATTAGTTATGACATTGGATCATCTTACAGAATGCCTCACCTATTGAATACAGAGGAAAGCTGGTGAGCCTGAGCGAGATCCTCTGCAGGGTGACTCAGCATTCTCATGACCTCTACGAGAAAACACACACCGATGACACTGCAGGAATTATCCTCATCTTCAGACCATTGAAACTCGATCGACCCTGATTCTATGTAGCATATGCTCCTAATCCATCATTCAGAAGCAATGCATTCACTGTTTTCATATGGGTCATAAACAAAATATTAAACACAATATCATATGTTCATATCCTGTCGAATTTCGCAACATATTTATTAAGAATGTCTCTTATCGCAGGACAGCTGCTCAGGTAGTGATGGTGAAATGTCCGTAACAACAAGGATAGGACATTTTTATATTCAAGAAATGCTTGCAAAAACCTGCAGAATTCAATTTTCTGATCACCTCCTGAATGAACTTATGAAGACCTTGGAAAATTACAGACAGGTACTGCATGTCAGATAGCCTACAGATGTCAGAGTCTGAACTATACTTATTCCTGTGCAGCCTAAAAATATGCAGATAAATCTTCTCATGCAATTTATTATAAAACTCTCTATTAAATTATACATACTTTTATGAGACACATAATCAAATGAGACAAATAAACTGCACACATTGTCAGTGCACTCAGCCAATGCTTCACAGAACGATATTGAGCGTGACTTTCATGTATCACCTTGAGCGCTGTGATGTCTTTATTATCACGCTACATTTCTCAGGCCTTATAACCTTTAAAACTGAGAAAAGTCACAGACCACATGCCGTAAAACAGTTAAAATGGCGATCCATACTTTTTTTGAAACAAGAGCATTAATAATCAGCAAAGTAACTAATTACAAATACTTTCGTTATAGTACATTTTTGAGTATAATTAAATTGTGGTACTTTTACTTTTACTTGAGTACAATAAAACTAAAGTAATCAACTTCGTTAGACTGTACTGGACCCCCAAAATTAACGCTTCATAAACCATGCAAAGCAAGCATGATGGTGATCCATACAACTGCAGTTGATGAATCAAAGTCTTCTAAAGCAAAACGTTTGGTGTGTGTGTGTGTGTATAACAAAAATACTAATATTTCAGTCTATACAGCCGCTGACTGTGACGTGTGACCCCAGCACCTTGAGAGACATTTGCCGTGCATTATAAACAGTACAGAATCTTTGACTAAACCTTGCTAGCTAGCAATATGTCGCAGAGCTCCCTGCTTAAATTCTTTAGTAAAAAAAACTCAGTTTGATGGACAGCTGGACACAAGGCCTAACGTTACACCTGATGAGGATGTTTCTCTCTCCCCGTATAATACAGAATCATCTCGTATTTAAGGCATTAAAGAAGCATTCCATATGAAAGCTATAAGGAACACAGTTTTACACATTTAAAATTTTTTAACTTCTAGCGTATTCTTAACCTTAGATCTCATTATTGAAGCACAAATTCAAGTCAAGTCACCTTTATTTGTATAGCGCTTTATACAATACTGATTGTGTCAAAGCAGCTTTACAGAGTCAAACAGGAAAATAGTTTGTCAATAATGCAAGAAGACAACAACAGTCATTTTCCCAGCTTAGCAAAGTCAGTTCATTGATGATTCAGTGATGTCATCATCCAGTTCAGCTCTCTTCCAATATTGTCTGTGCAATCAGTCAAGCGACCCCAACTAAGCAAGCCAAAGGTGACAGAGGCAAGGAACCAAAACTACATCGGTGATGCAAATGGAGAAACCAGGCTCAGTCGGGAGGCCAGTTCTCCTCTGGCCAGACCAAACCAGCATGGTGTGGTTTAATTCCAGGCTGCAACACATGTGCAGAGAACTTGTGCCGATGGTCATCGAGGTGACGCGGTCTTCACAGGGGATCTGTCTCTGGGGCACATCTAGTTGACATGGTCTCCGCTGACATTCAGGGCTGTAGAGGTAGTCTCTAGGTGCTGATCCACCATCTGGGCTCGATATGGACTGTATCTGGGTGGCTACGGTGACCTCGGAATAAGAATAAAACAGACTAATATTAGCGTAGATGCCATTCTTTTTACGATGTAGCGAGTACATCGGGTGTTAAGGGAAGTGTTCCCGGTTCCGGTTGACCTAATTAATGCAACCTAACAATCCTTTAACGGACTTGAATTATAGAAATGTGATAGTGTGTTATGTGTATGCCAGATTTAAACGGACAGAGTGTGTCTGCCTCCCAAACAACGCTAGGTAGATTGTTCCAGAGTTTGGGCGCTAAATAACACTTTGAAAGTTGTAGTTTTTGCTGAAAAAGTGGAAGCGACGAAAGAGGAAGGGATAAGAGTTTGAGGTAAGCAGTTTTATATTTTAGAGCCGTGTCACATCGATTTCATGTCACATTTTTACTGGCTGGTCTGTAGACGTGGGTTGTAGCAGCAAACACACTGCAATGATCATGCTGAATTTCTGACACTGTCAGAAAATGATCATAGGCTATCTTTGGTCGCAAGACCAACAGTGTCTTTGAACCTCTCTCACTGTATGACATAGGACCCCCGTTTAAGAGCCACAAACACAGAAATCGCCACGATTTTTTCACGATGCCAATCTTTCATCTGGGACAGCCGGAAATCATGCAGTGTGTCTCAGGCTTAAGGCACATTTACAAACAACCTTGGCTGGCCAAAGTACTGTGTGTAAAATTATTTGCAAATACACTTACAAAAGATTAAAAGTACAAGAGAAAAGATGAGTTTTTAAGATGGATTTGAACTCAGATAACATAGGAGCACTTCTATCATGTAATGGTCAGTCAATGCAAAGGTTTGGTCTCCTCTACGTTATAGCTGTGATCTAGGTACACACAGTCGGAGTCAGAGAGATATTATATTAGGGGGCTAGATCATTTATAGCTGTATAAACAAATAGTACAATTTTATAATCTATGTGATATCTGTCACACTACGGTGCACTCAAAACACTCACGAAGATGATGAAGGTAAAAAAATCTTTAATAATCCACACAGAAGGTAAATCCACAAGAGGAAGGCTTAGCACACAGGAAAACATAGACGAGATCCGACAAACTAAACTGAACAGACAGGAACTTAAGTACACAGACAAAATAAGATAATTAACCAGACACACCTGAACGTAATGATATAATCAGACATGAGGGAAAACTAGGTCAGAACAGGGAAACAAGACAAAAAACAACAAATTAAAAGTCCACGATGGTGATAGAACTCCCCCTCCTGGAAGGCGCGACCTCGCGCCGTAGCAGGATGAACAACGGACGGACGGAGGGAGGGAGGGGGTTTGGGAGGAGGACGAGGCGGTGGCGAAGGGCAGGAAGAGAGGCAGGCAGATAACTAGGGCGGAGACGACGGAGGGAGAAGCCAAGGAGGAGACGTGAGGAGCCAGGATGGAGACAGGAGGGACTTGGAGCAGGAGGAGCCAGGCAGGACCCAGACCGCAGCCAACATGACGGCCCACAGTGAAGCCGATGGAGGGAGGAGCCATGGTGGAGGAAGGGCTGACGACTCCAGGGGGCCGACCAACAGTGGCGGAGCAGGTGGGAGAGGAGTCCAAGACGGAGACAGAGAGCCGACGAGCCAGGGTGACGCAGAGGATCCGGAGGGCCAAGGCAGAGCAGATGGCTCAGGCGACCGAGGCGCAGACGGGGATCTGAGGCGCATGACTGGTAGTGGGTTCTGGGATGTTGTGTGCTGCCCACACACACTAAATGATGACATCCATGACAGGGAGTGCCACGGACAGGGGAACGACCTCCATGGTCGTGACAGGACAGGCAGATAGTTCTAGGCAGACAAACAGTTCAAAGCAGACCTCCATGGTTGTTTCAGGATATACAGGGAGTTCATAAACGGCCTCCTTGGCCATAACAGGACAGGCAGAGGTTTCAGAAGATGATGGAAGACTGGGGATAACTGAATAAAAGTCTATTAAATCCTGAGTCCTGCTTCTGCTCACCCTTAGCAGTGGTACAGTAGACGGGGCTTTCCTCCGTGCCCTCGCTCTCCACTGTTTCATCCACCATCGCGTGCATTGTTGCCGGCTTTCGCACCTGGTCAGATGACAGATCACTTGGAACATGCCATTTTAGGTTTCCTATTATTTAATTTTACTATTATCATTTAAAAAAAATTATTTTGACACTTTGCACACATTTTGCCTGTTGGTGATATTGAAATGCAGAACTATGCAGTGTTATTGTCACGAATCCGGTCCATGAACTTCCAATTTCATTGACTCTCGCACCACACACTGTTGCACATCACCTATTATAGTATAAGCATAACAGTATGTTAATGTTGGCTGCTGATGTCCTGATACTCCATCATCTCCGGTTCTTCTTCAAATGCAGGGTTCTCATGAATGTGTGGTGTCTGAATCTCCGGCTCACAGTAATCACAGTCTGTAGGATGTCCAAGAGCTGCTATCATAAAGACAAATCATTAACCACGAGCCATCAGTAAACAGTACATACACATCAATCCAGCATGCCACTGATAATGACACAGACTCATTAGCTTGCTGCTGGATCTGTTGTTGTTTTATTCATTTACTCCAGTGACCTTTACTCCTATCTCTGTTTTTAGTATGATTGCATAATAATTTTATTTATTTATTTTTCTGGAAGTACTATTTTAATTTGTCTTATTTATTGTCTTTTTTACTAAATGTGTTTGCTGTTTTGGAAATCGCACAGTCCTTCCATGCATCAGCACTCAGTATTAAGTATAGTGAGTCTCCAGCCGAGTGGGAAAAAATAATGCATTAATGCAAACTGCCTTTTTTTAACCAGCAAGTTTTGAAAGACTATTTACGGCAGTTATTTTTTAATTACTAGTCAGTAGGCAATAACATAAAATGGACCAATGGCACACCGTAATCTATTGTCAATTATCTGTGTTAAATGTTCAATATTTTTGTTACAAAATCTAAAAATCATAAAAATGTATCCAAATTGGTAATTAATTGACCCAATAATCACTTTCATAATCATTAAAAATTTAAAATAAATAAATATATATACAGTATATATATATATATATATATAT